AGCTACACTGGACAGTGTGGCTGGTTTTCATGGGAGAGGGAATTTGGGCTTGGAGTGTAAGCTGGACAGAATGAATGGATCCTGTGATCTATCCAGAAGACTCCATAATGAATGGATCCTGTGATCTATCCAGAGCAACCCCAGAATCGTGAGCTAAGCTGTCTCTTGCGTGGGTCCCAGGACAAGGACAGTGGTTCTCCCCAGCATGTGGCCCTCCCCAGTTCGTCTTCCTCACCCCCACACTGCCCAGAGTGGCCTCAGAAGTCTGCCCAAGGCTGGAAGCCATAGACTGTACCTCACTGTGTCTGAGAGGCTTGGACAGTGAACCCACTGTTTTCTTTATTTGTACACTGTAGGGGCTTTTCTGCAAGGCATGAGTGACCCCCCCCCCCCGCCAAAGCAGAGCCCCACTCAGCCCTCCGGGCCTCTGGCACAGAGATTCAGGGCAAAACGCCTTCCTTGGCTCACCCACTGAATGATATCGTAATACTGAGCTCTTGTGCCATCCTCCACTCTGGAGGGAGGCGATCCTTTGGAGAACACACGGTGGCCAGAATGTTGGTATCCTGCTGCGTGTCTTTCTGTGTCAGCAGGGGAAGCCATAGAGGTCTATAAGGATAAGCGGGTGGGAGTCTACTGGGGGCCCAAGGGAGCTGAGCATATCAGACTTTATGATTTTTAAAGCTTTAGATCTGTTTTTTGAAGTGACTGCTGGTCATCAGACTTCACCCTTCCAGACAGCAGTAAACATGGGGGCAACATTCTGAAGTGGGGTACAGGCTGCCTTAATGGGCTGCACCTCTCCCCTTGCGATGACCACAGCTGAGTGTGGAGGTCTGAGTTTAGACAACCACCGAATTTGGAGACGGTCGAGCAGGGTGGTATTGGGTTGATCAGTACCTTCCTGGATTGTCCCCTTGAGGAGTAACAAAGCCAAGCCTGGGATGTTTACTGGGAATGTTTTTCCTAGGGGTGTATCCGGTGCAGTGGAACAGCCACATGGGCGTGTCTTTTGTCCTCACTGATCCCGTTTGCTCACTAGATGTGACAGACACAGCCAAGTATTCAAAGTCACCGTGGGCTGTCATTGCCAGGAAGTGGCTGCCTAGCCAGGGACCATTTTTGCATCCTCTTGCCCCACCCCCACCCCTAGCATTTAGGAGTATGAATGGAAGGGAGGTCTTCATCAAGGCTTTCTAGCAGTGGTGAGACTTCTGCACACATCCTCCTGCAGGCCAGATGTGGAGGATCCACAAAGTGGAAGGAGCTGGATCCCCGAGTCACCGCGTGGAGACAAGGCACCCTGCGCAGGAATGTGTGCTGGCGGCCATTACTGTTCTAAGTGGGAAGTAGACTTGTCCTGCATTTGAGGCATTACACATTCTGGTCTTTTGTTACTAGGCAACAGTCTAGTAACACTCTAAGTAATAAACTAGATGGGCAA